ATAGGCACAAGGGGAACCGTAGGATCGCTGCTCAACAAGGAAATCGAATACTTCACCAAGTTCGAGTTAGAAGCAAAAGGTAGTGGTGGTGATGTTGGTGGTCGATCAAGGAAATCCCATGTACAAGTTGAAATGGATTGCAGAAATGGTCATCCAAGGCCCGGTTTTTGGTTCTCGATCACCAGCTGGAAAAGGAAGAAACGACAAGCAGGCAACAACAACGGCGGGTTCTTACCGAGCATGTGTTCCGCGATCGAAGTTGCGGAACACATGAATCGGTATAGGATCCTTAAAAATGATGTCCACAAGTACTTTCACATTTAATAAGTCACCATCTTGTTGGAAGAGAAGAAAAATAGTGGTTTACGAGCAAACCTGTTGTTCATAACATGTTTTTTTATGTTTCTTGTGATTGTCTCTTGATGTTTTATTAAATAAATAAATCTTTTACCAAAATCACAATCCATGGTTCGTTTTTTCGGAGTTGCTAATCCCGGATTCTGGCGAACAAGGGAAGTGTACTTTCAGCAGCAGATCCGACAGCGAACGGTGTCTAAAGGAATGCAGTTCATGTCGATGAGCTGTAGATTTGATGATTCTATCTCCGGATTTAGCTGGTGTAGTCCGGCAATTCGATACATGCTTCTTTCAATGATTTACCTGGTAAGCGACTACTTATTTGTACTTCCGCGCTGATGTTTTCGTTGCCTTTTGGCCTGACTAGAAACACGATGGCAGTTACGACATCCTCGATCAATGTTGCCTTTCGGCCTGGCTGGGGAAACTCGATGGCAATTACGACATCTGTGATCAATGTTGCCTTTCAGCCTGGCTAGAAACTCGAAGGCATTAACGACATCCGCGATCAATGTCCAGCTCTCGGCAATTCCTCCCGAAGGTACATTGCTTTAGGGGATCCGCCAATTATGTGAACTTTGGTCTGTCTTTAAATAATGGCTCTGCCTGCAAGACATGGAATAAACATAGACTCAAAAGCTTAAGAATCTAAAAGCATGCAAATGCACAATTGTTCTAAGAACATAACAAACCCAAGCAACAAGGTTCTGTTCTTTGGTCGGACTTTCGAGATCGATAACTCTCCTCCCCGAGATTAGCTCCAGAAGCACTACACCGAAGGTATAGACATCGGATTTCATCATCAGCTTCCCCGTCATCGCGTACTCCGGAGCACAATAACCATAGGTTCCCATCACCCTTGTTGACAAATGTTCCTTCCCTTCAGTTGGCCTCCCTTCAGTTGGCCCCAACTTTGCAAGTCCAAAATCGGAGAGTTTAAGATTAAAGCTCTCATCCTCTTAATTTTTTTAAATTTTATAATTAAAGTCTCTATTTTTTTAAAATCCCATTTCCTACCATTATAATTTGACATAATTTATTCGTCATGTTAACATTTTAAGTTTATACATATTAAAAAAAAGACGTGTGAAATTATTTTTAATGAGATAAAGTATACAAAAGCTATCTTGATTATAGTACGTTGTTTTGTTTAGTATTTCAATTATTAAAATTAATAAAATGATCCCCTTACTATATGACATTATTTTGTTGAGTCACTGATTATTATAAGTTACAAAATGATAAACTGACTATTCATATGTTCCAAACTCATCATTTTCCATTAAAAAATTGACAGCAGTATGAGCTAGACGTTAACATGCTAATTAAGATGTGATAAAATTATATTTTAATGATGTCTATTAACATTGTCATTACTTTCAAGTACTGACTCAACGATATAATGTAAACAAAGAGTTGATTCACAAAATATAGCTCAAATGGTTCTTAGACCATATTTTATTATATTCCAGTCAATATATTATCGTTTAAGCCAGATGACTGTTAATTTTTTAACGAAAAATGATGAATTTGGAACAATGAACAGTTGGATGACCATTTTATAATTTTTAATAGTCAAAGACTCAACAAAACAATGTCCTATAATTGATTAATTATCTTATAACTTTTAATAATCAGAGAACTTAATAAAGTAACATTTTATTTTCAAAAAACCATTTCTGTAATTTACCCTTTAATGAAATTAGTATAAAGAAAGTTGATTTCAACACAAAATATATATTTCAAAAAGGTGGAGGATTAATCCCATCAAATAGACGTAGTGGTAAAAGAAAATTTTGTAATTCTTAGAGGTTATGAGTTTGAGTAATTGCGTTTGTTGGGTGCATGTGACTTATCAATATGTTAAGAAATTTTTGAATAGATATTGCCTTATAATTAGCTTATACTATTAAAAAATAGTAGATGATTAAAAATATCAAATTATATAATAAAGGAACTAAATCCAAAAGAATGAATAGTAAAAGGACTTTTCGTGAGATTTGACCTATTCTAAAAATAGTTGTTAAACCCTTGCAAAAAAAAACACCCAGGAAAATTGAAAGTTTTCTGGTCTCGTCGTATCATTCAAAAAACCAATGTTTTATCAATGGGGATTTACAGATCTCTGTAAACCCTAACCATCAAAAACCCTAACAAAGCCCGAACCTTTTTGACCGCAGCATCTGCGAATTCAAGTACCGCTGCTTATGTAATTCCACCTCTATCATCTCCTCTCTTTCACACCCGAGTCTCGCCGTTTTCTCCATCGCTTTCTAAATGGATCGCTCCCTTCAATGGCCCTCTTTTCCTCTCTTCCCCTCCATGGAAGCTCTCTCAATCGGCCAATCCGTTTTGGGGGAACATAACAGTTTTACGAAAAGTCCAAGCGTTGAATCTTAACTTGATCAGAGGCGGCGGAGCTAAATTTCCAGTCAAGCTACGATTTGGGTCGGTCTTATCGGACCCGAGCTTGTTTGATCGGGTGGAAACCGAGAAGCGAAGCACTAAGGAAAGGGAAGCTGTGGTTGAGAGTTTTGTGAATTTGCCGAATTTAATTTCAGTGAGTAGATTGGTTTCTGGTCCTTTGCTTTGATGGTAAGTTTTAATATCAAACTTGTTTTTAAATTGATTTTTGCAGTTTTTGACACAGTGAGTTAATTGTAGGATGATTGTAAACGAAATGTATGGTCTTACATTTGTGGGATTAACCATCTCTGATTGCAAATACATGACCTTTCCTCTGTTTAATGCTGAAATGTTTTGTAGTCGGACCAAATGTTTAAGATTTGTACTAGTTTCTCGTAGCTTTCCGCTTCTTTGTAACAAGGATAATTTGGATTCATCATACTGGTGCCAATAGTTATGGATTATATCAGCAGTTTCTTTCAAGTAATTGCCTTGAAATCCTTCATCTTGATTTCTGTTTCACCTACCTTTAGTACATGAAATTATGGATGTTTAGAGCTGTGGTTATCCGTGTATGTTATTTGATATTTAAATTTTACACACATAGAGGTGCTATATTATCCACAAATGTCCGGCGATGCATATCTTATTAGTTTCTGTGCTTTAAAGCTGGACTTGTCGGGCTTGTTGTGTTGCGAGATGCTGCCCTTATTGGTGGCGCGATGTACAAAAGAGCTAGTAGCTTGGGTTGGCAGGTGAAGTGCTTAACTTGAAATTTATTAGCTCATGTTTTTGCTCCGATTCTGTACTTGCTTGGCTAACTTTAGTAATCGTTGATGTAAATCTGGGGTTTCATTGTTGGTTTCTCTTCGATTCAGTGGAAAAGTTGGCTAGATTTCATCAATCTCGATGGGACTAGACTGCAGAAGGTTGGGCCTCTCTTTATAAGCAAAGTAAGTATCATCGTTTCTTTCCACGATTGGGTGCAATATGGAGTTAGCAATGTATTCTGCAATTCTTTATCATTTTAACACTATAATGACACCGAGAACAAGGAGTAAAATATAATGGCAAGGCATGGACAATCACAAAAGCCATCTACGGAATGCGGAAAACCCTGAACTCGATTTGTGGAAACAGTTAATGCTTCCATTCCATATTTGAAAGAACTTCAAATTTTTGCAGGTTAACACAGTTTTCCAGCTGATTTTAGTTGCCTCAGCTCTCCTACAACCCGAGTTCAGAACGCCAGAAACTAAATCATGCATCACATACTTGAGGTAAACTAACTGACCCTTTGCTTATTAGGTCATAGATAAATCACAAGTCACAAAAGCTTAGATTTCACGACACGTCAACAGTTGGATAGTGGTTGCAAGAACAGTAAGTTCTACCATTGCATACGGAGCCCAACACACGAGAAAGAGACTGGTGATGATGTCAAAAAAGCCTTGGTCGAATTCTTAACGCAACACTAAGACAAGTGACGAGTTCCTTCAGTTCCGGAAGCAGCCGATGTGTTAGCATATATAGAGCCGTAGATGGAAAGAAAGGAGTAGTTCATGAGCCCAAGGAGCCTTATCGGTTGCTTGTAAATGGCCGGCACCGTCTTGTAAAATTTTGTTATTGATGTTTAAGCTCCGTTTCAAGATTTTTTTCCTAGTTTTCAATGTGGATGATTTGCATCATGCCGAGTTTCGGATCAAACATGAAGATGCTTCCATTAGAGACAGGGACAAACATAAAATTTTATATTCAGGAGTATAATCGTCTTCAAAACCCCTTTTTAGTCGTTAAAAAATCTTATTATTTAAATCGTTCTAATACATTGCAAACGTGTAAGATCACCATATTTTATATTTGATTGTATCCACCATATTTTGTTTATGTATTCACCATTATCGATTATTACACATTCATTAAAAAGATTTTCATCTGATACCAATAAGATCACCATCGAAAGTCATCAGAATTTTATAAACAATCAAAAGTGTTCTTCAAACTTCTTTATTCTTTCAACAATCATCTATTTAACTTTTGATTCTAAAAATGTTTTTGAAATGCAACGGTTACTAAGCTTTATCACAAAACAACACGTGTGGAAACTTCTAGGCAGCTTCCACACGTGTCTGAGGACCCGGCTTCATCTTAACGTTACAAGCGCCACTGGTTGGCTCTTCGATTTTTCAAATTCAAATTAAGAAAACCTCACTTTTGCTCCTCTTCTTAACCGCTCTCACTCACTCACTCAACTCAATAAACCATTTGTTCGCTGCAAAATCTCCCAGTTAATCGCTGAAAATCGAATACGTCGATCAAATTTAAGCCCAAAAAATGGAGGAAGATCCTTTTTCGTCGTCGTTCTCTTCTTCGTCTTTACTTTTCAAAGACATCTCCAATTTCAAAACCCCAAAACGCCCTTCGAAGCCCCCCGTTTTCCATTCACCTTGTCCTCAGTACTTCACCGCTTCCAAACAAACCCCGAGGACTTCTTCGTCATTTCGTCACCGCTCGACCTTCCTTTGCCCCTTCCTGTTCCCGCTCCAGATCCAAAGCCTCCGCTGCCGCCGCCAAGTTCAAAGCCTTCGAGCTCCAGCAATCTCAGTCGGCTAGGAAAGAGCAGCTCAAGAAAGAACAGTCGCTCAAGTCATTGTCCAAATCTCTTACCGTTTGGTTGAATTTCCTCTTCCAGAACCCTAAGTCTTGCGGATGTGATTGTCCATCAATGGCCGTGATGATAGGAATACTGTTCGAGTGGATAGTGCCTGGAGAAGCCCGAAACGGATGAGAGAGTTGTGGTGGAGAGGGAATGAAGCGGAGGAGAACGTAGCGGTCAATATTTCAAGCTCGAATTATTCCATTTTGAGGTCTTCGTTGAAGGAAGTTTGTAGTTTCGATGATTTTAAGCAGCGGATGCAGATTTATTTGAGTTTGGGGAGTTGCGAGGAGATTTTCAATACCATGACTCAAGTTGTTAAGGTTTCGCTTCTCTAACTGTTATCCTTTTCGTTTTCTCTGCGCTTTTCTTTGTGGGAATGGTAGTTTTAGATTAGTGTTAGTTTCTCATATTAAAGATATGTTTTTAATTAGTTAGTGATAGCATTGGAGTCTTAGTGTTGTTCTTACTTAAATTTCAGAATATAGATGAAGGAAGGTTAAAAATGAAGGCACATTGTCCTATAGTTACGTTGGAATGAAGGAAAATGCATGTAAAATTCTTATGTCTTACAACTCAAGTTGGCTCCGAATCGGGTTGTATATTATTTTTGGAGGTGATTCCCTGTTATCATCTGATGGAGATGATAGTTCTGTGCAAGATATTTCATTTTTTAAGATGGTTATAGAAAAGCAGTTTCTATCGCACCCTGGACTTGCCAAGGCTTATGCTTATAACAAGAAGGTTGAAGGCTTGTACAGACCGGGATACTATGAAAATTTGGGGAATGTTATATTGAAGAGGATTTTGTTGCTTGTACTTATCCTAGATCGAGCTAAATCTCAGACCAGTCTTCCTCTTAAGTACGGTATTGATGGAGTGGATGGAGGTTCACCTCTTCTATTCACAGTTTCATCTGGTATAAAATCAAGTCGTCAAGTTCTTAATGGTAATTGCATAGCTCCTTGCTTGAATTTTTTTGTTGCTTAGTTTAAAGCTATATGTGCTATTTTTGGGGGATAACTTTGTCTTCATTTATGATATAAAACTAGATTTTTTATCATCGGATGTTATGCATGGCGAAGGTAGTCTTCTCGCACATCTGGTGGTCATAGGGTACAAAGTTTCTCATCAGCAGGTATGTGGTTTACATTTAATCCATATGTAATGTGCTTGTGGGTGCATATGCATACTCTGTATGGTTTAATACTAATCTAGAATCTCGCAACTTAATTTTGGGTCATTTTATGCTGATGACTATACATTAACTCTATATATCATCTTGGAATGGAAATATGGAATAATAAGTTCAGTTCCTTTTCTTCTTCCTTCTTAACATCCAAATTTTTACCTTGATGCAGTCTGCCCTTGCTGAGTTTGACTACCAAGTATCAGATTTATTCTTGGATTTTCAAGATGGGGTGCGGCTCTGTAGAGTAATTCAACTTTTGCGACATGAACCCTCTATCCTCATGGTTGGTATTTATATGGATTCCCATAAAATTAAAACGTCAGAATCAATTAGTTATCTTTTAGCAACGCATGGAATGTAATTTAACGTAGCTGCTCATTGCATGAGCAGAAACTAGTAGTTCCTTCAGACATGCAAAAAAAGAATTTGGCCAATTGTGGTGTTGCCCTGCAATATTTGGAACAGGCTGGTGTCATGCTATGTGATGAAGATGGATTGAAGATTACAGGAGATGATGTTGCTGGTGGAGATAAGGAACTCACTCTATCCTTGCTGTGGAATATATTTGTTCACTTACAGGTATGCTAATTTTATCTTTGTTTTAAATTTATAAAAGTTAATGGTTTTCAGAAAATTTGCAAATGTTAATCCTTTATCTCTCACTTCTGTTTTCATTGAACTTGCAGCTGCCTCTTCTGATTGATAAAACAACTATTGCTGATGAAATATCCAAAATAGGTGGCCTTAATATGGTATGCTTCAGACTTACATTGAGTTCTTGTGAAAAATGAGGGGTGACAAGTGAGGGAGGTGAGGAACAGGAAAAGGTGGATAATTGACTTAGTTTTCCTATTCATTACAGAAAAAATAAGTGCATGTAGGAAGTATAGCAACTAGCTTTATGCTTAAGTAATAGAAATGCTAGGCTAAGTTCCTTTTTTCAAATTTTGTTTCTTTTGTATATTAAGGTTTCCTAATGTTCATAATCTCAGTTTCATTTTTCTATGCTCACTACAGGAAAACTTGAATGTAATCAGTTCCACTCTTATGGGAATGATTTTAAACTGGATCCAGGTATTCTGTTATTTCATAGCAACATTGTTTTTTCTTCTTCTCCACCTCTTATATGTATCTTTTTTTGTCTGATATACTAGTTAATCAATAGTTGTGATTAGGGAATTTTCATTTTTGCATGTTTACTCATTCAAATTGCATCTTCGTTCAATTCATTGCGTTAATAACAATATAGATTAATGTTTGCAGGCAATTTGTGAAAAGTATGATCTTAAGGTTGACAGCTTTTCTTCACTGGTTAATGGAAAAGCCATATGGTGCTTGCTTGATTATTACTTCCGCAGAGAATTGTCCTGTTCTTGTTATAACAAGGTGCTACAGATTCTCTGGCCCTATGCTTTCATTCTTTTCTACAGTGATATGTATTATCATCTTATTGTTATGTCTTAACAGGATTCTCATGACCCAAGAGGAGAAGAGTCAATCATGTCTGCCACAGATTACACAGATGCAGTTCACAATTTTATGTTTTCACAGAAACTGATAGCACTATTGGGAAATTTCCCTGAGGTAATGTTCAGTTTAATGCTTATTAGTTGATTATATACTATTTACTTTACATTTGTGATTAGTTAAAAAATTATAACAGAGGTAAGGTGAGATTTTGGGAGACGCTGCTAATGTTTTAAAAGCTGATTTTTTGGGAGGCAAAACAGTGTTAAATGATAAATGGTGATTTAAATGGTGGTTGTGCTGTTATTAATTAGACAATGAAGTTTACTCTTTTAGCACATATTTATTCTTCAAAATACAATTTTATTATACAGCTTACTTTTTGCCTGCTGTGTTGTACAGGTTCTGCAAATAAGTGACTTACTTGAGCATAATGGTGCAGTCAGTGATCAGAGTGTGGTAATTTTGCTCGTTTTCCTGTTGTCCCATCTTGTTGTCAAGAAAAATATGGTAATGCTTGATTCCGGAAGTCATTTTATAAACAATTTGATTTTGTCATAGTTGCAAACGGTTCAAGAACTCTTCTATCTTTTGCCAGGATCAGTTGAATTTCCATAAACTATTGGGTTGCAATTGTCCAAACCTAGAGAGGAGGCATTCATTGACTCGAAGACAGTCAGCAAGTTCTCAAGCTGTTGTGCAAAAGGAAAGAGACATAGATATCACTGAAGGTATGCTTGTCAAATAGATCTATTTTGATTGTATATGCAGCTAAATATGGTTGGATTGTGCAAATCAAAGACCAAACACAATCACATCCTACAAAAAAGCGTGAAACTGTGAGTGTGTATGAATCATTCTTATTGAACCTAGCTTCTTGGGGGGGGGGGGGAACTGGAAAATAAGCTAGAGTTGGCTGCAGTTTGTTCATACAGAAGAAATGTGCTTTAGCTATGAATTTATTATAGTTGGTGCACTTCATGGATTCTATTGTCTTTGTTATGGGTTTTTTCCCTAAGAAATAGATGTTAATTAATCCGAGAAATGTCCAGAAAACTGGTGTTATTGCCTTTTCTATGTGATCTGTCAAACTTCCTCTACTGTGCCATACACTTTGTAATTTCATGCTATGTTTTTCTTGTCAATTCAGAGTATTATTTTGTTTGATACTTTTTTGCTTTTAATGTTAGTAATGTACACAACATTTTTTATTTTTCATATACACTGTTTGTGTGGTGTGCATTTGCATCAGTGTGTGTGTATATACATATATTTGTATGCTTATTTACTTTTTTCAATGCGATTAGTTTAAGGAAATTGTCATGTGAAGTTTTTGCATTTGCCAGTACAGTAAATGTTCAAGCCTTCAGAATTGTGCACTAAAATCTAGTCTTTATTTACTTACTCTTGCATTTCATTCATGCAGATGCTGCTAAAAAGTTCAAGGCCATTCACGCTTGGTGGCGAGATATGACAGAACAAAACTACAAGAGTTCTGTAAGACCTGCTGCTTCTGCTTCGAATTGTTTTCCGGCTCAGAGCACAAGCTCTGTCATTTTAAGAGGTTAGTGTTGCTTATTTTCAACATGAGTAGGAGTTAAATATCAATTGATTTAAAAAAATTTCAGTATTATTTAGTTGATTTTTCTTAATTGGCTATATTTAATTTTGGTATTCGTTGATTGTTGCCACATTCTTGTTATTGCAAGTTCTCATGGGAAATCTGTTCGCAGCGAATTCAAATTACTGGATTCTGAAACTATACTTGATAAATTATGCATTTCTCTAAGGTTCTCTTGATTTTTTGGCTTGCTCAAACTTAATTTGTTATATTTGACTCTTCGACCTTTCATTGCATTCATCATGAATAGAATCAGTAAGTAATATTCTTCTTCTAACCTTGCCATTCCTGCGTAATGCTTCAGAAAATGCTGCAATAACCATACAGTCTCATTATAGGCGTTTGATAGAGCGTCACAATTTTCTGAAGATGATGAAAGCAATCTGTTTAGTCCAAATTGTTATGCGTGCGTGGTTGACTGTAAAGAAAAATTCAGAGCTCAACAATTTCAATTTTGCCAGTATTGAGGAATTTCCATCTGGTATTTGCTCTTGTAGGCATTTTGGTTATATGCTTTCTTCATTTCCGATTTCTCACTGCAATTTTTTATCTTTGCTTTGCCAGAACTCGGGAGAGTTGTAAGGTTTGTTGCTGAGAGGCACAGTTTTGTTAAATTAAGAAGATCAGTGTTGCTCATACAGCAATCTGCAAGGATTTATATCACTCAAAAACGGAATGTATCCCATCAAAACCTCGTCAAAGCTGCCATTGTAATTCAGAAATATGTTCGTGGTTGGATGGTGAAGTCACACAACATTCTTAGCCATGCTCATAATGAGAATGCATCTCTTAAGTGCCGAATGAAGGGTCTACATGATGGTGATATAGAAGCTGCAACCAAGATTCAGATTGCAAGGAAGAGTTTTCTTCACAGATCTCAATCCAAACAAACTTTTTCTGCAACTAAAATTCAGAGCTGTTTTCGGGGTTGGAGGTTAAGGAGGAGGTTTATGAAGCAGAAGCAAGCAATAACAAAAATTCAAAGTAATTTCCGACAACTGAAATGTTGGAGGGTCTTTCAGATTTCTAGGAAGGAATTTGTCCGTAAATCCCTTCAAAATCAGACATTAGCTGCTACCAGAATTCAGACTCAGTTCCGTGCTTGGCTGTTAAGAAGAAGTTATACAAAGAAGAAACAAGCAATAATAAAAATTCAAAGTAATATTCGACGACTGAAATGCTATAAGGCCTTTCAGATTGCTAGGAAAGAATTTGCTTGTAGATCTCTTCAAACTCAGACATTAGCTGCAACCAAAATTCAGAGTCAGTTCCGTGCTTGGCAGTTGAGAAGAAGTTTTATGAAGAAGCAAGCAATAATAAAAATCCAAAGTAATTTCCGACGACTGAAATGCTATAGGGCCTTTCAGATTGCTAGGAAGGAATTTGCCTGTAGATCTCTTCAAAATCAGACATTAGCTGCAACCGAAATCCAGAGTCGGTTCCGTGCTTGGCAGTTGAGAAGAAGTTTTATGAAGAAGAAGCAAGCAATAAATAAAAATCCAAAGTAATTTCCGGCGGCGAAAATGTTTGAGGGCTTCTCAACAATGTGAAAATGCCAACAGATCAGCTATCATCATTCAATCTTATGTGCGTGGATGGATAGCGAGGAGAAAAGCTTGGAGATATAAGTATCTTATTGTTATGATCCAAGTAAGTTGTTCTTCCATAACTGTATGTTATAGTGTTTCCTTATATTTCCTAAGTTGCCTTGATCTGATGGTCAAACTGATATGTCTTTCGAAATTTCAGATAACCTCTGGATTTCTTGTCATATATCAGCTTGATTTATAATTGAAACTATGCTGTATTTGGTTTAAATTGCTGGATGGATCAACCCTCTTCCTTTCGCTAATGTTCTTAATATTGCATTGAATGTTCACTTGCATATCTTCCCAATTTTGAAGTATTATTTTAATAGTTTTTTCCTTGTGAAATTTGGTAGTCACATTGGAAAGGTTATGTTGCTCGGAAAGAATCAAAGGCACGGCTAAAGGATTTGCGCTTGAGAATGCAGAAGTCTGCTAAGAATGTTGACGATAGCAAACGTATTATTAACAGGCTGTTATCAGCACTTTCAGAACTACGAAGCATGAAAAGCATCAGTGGCATTCTTCATCACTGTGAGACCTTAGGTAAGTGAGCATACTGTATTCTACAAAGTTCATACTTGTTACTTTCAAACTACGAAAGCATGAAAAGCATCAGTGGCATTCTTCATCACTGTGAGACCTTAGGTAAGTGAGCATACTGTATTCTACAAAGTTCATACTTGTTAGTATATCCGAGGATATGTTCTATACTGGTGTTGGACACAGATACTTCAAAAATGAAGAGTCGGATCAAAGAAGAAAATGTGATTGAATCAACTTATGACAACACTTAAATTGCAGACATGGCAACAGCCCATTCTCTGAAATGCTGTGAAGAACTAGTGGCTGCAGGTGCAATCGGCATTCTAATAAAACAGGTTCGCTCAGCCAGTCGAAGCATCCCCGATCAGGAGGTTCTAAAGCATGCACTCTCAACACTCAGAAACCTTGCTCGTTATCCGCATTTGGCCCAAGTGTTGATCGACACTCCTCCGTCAGTAGAGACAATCTTATGGGAGATGCTCAGGTTTTCTATTCCCCAGTTGACGATCTTTACATTGCTTTGTTTCTGATTTGGTTATAATTTATATTTCCAGGAACAAGGAAGAAGGTTACTTTATTGCTTCCGAGATCTTGAAGAAGATATGTTCAAATCCAAAAGGTGTGAAAGCTGTACACAAGGTGCCTGCTCTTTTGAAGAGACTACACAATCTTGTTGAAGACCTTACAAGGAAATTAAACATTGAGAAAAGGTTAGATTTTTAGACCGTATAAAAGCTTATTTTCCTTACAAACATCTGGAATGTGAAGTCATTTATGACCCACACCTGGTGTTATGTTCCTTATCCAGCAGGAATCCTCGTACTGCTGCCCTAAAAGAGAGCACAGATAGAAGATCTAGGGAGGCAGTCCAACTGCTTAAACTGATAACACATGGTTATCGAAACCAGTAATCATCAAATGGGTGCACGACACGTGCATGGTTGTTCGGATTGTGAGAGATGCACTCTGTATATAAAGCTGCATAGTGTCGTTTTATTTTGAAACCGGTATGTGCTTGGTACTAACTATATTGATATAAAGCCTGAGATGCACTCTGGGGATGTAGGGCATCCTGGTTATGGGTTAGGGCATAAAACATAATTTATCCGACCATTGCTTACTCTAACAGCAAATATGTTTTTTTTACAAACATAAAATAGTAATTTGATTGAATTATAGTGCAGAATCAATGCCCGGATGGAATACTTTATACAAACTTAAGTACCTTTCGATACCAGGGGATTAAAGCTATAAGTTTCTTCATGTTCAGACGATTATCTGCTGCTTGACTGAATAACTCCTGAATCTGTTTCAGTTCTTTCTCTGGAAACAAAAACATGAAAACATCACTCCGATAGTTAAGACTCATTTCTGATCTCAATTTCTTTCTTCGGAGTTATTTGTAGGTTAACTTCCAAGATAGATAAGTTGAAACATGTGTACTAGTAGTTGAGAACGAACTAAAAACTCAAAAGAAACATGTATGATCAACCAACACGAAGCTAACATCCTCTCCTTACATATATATCACAAATTCCATAATTTGATCAACCTTAGCAACTATTGTCCCGTTGTCCAATCCGGCCCAGCCATATCTAGCAGCCTAGATCTTAATCATCTGCTACACTTGTTAGTATTTCAGTTATCATTTTTCCCTTATCTGTTATATTCTCATAAGAACATGGAAGACAAGTATAGGGATATAGGGATACGATCTTTCAAGGACTTTGATACCCATACAGGATTCGTACTGGTATCCGACACAATCATAATCGTTTCGAGCAAAAATAAATGTAAAAAAAACAGAAGAGAAAAGTACTAGTAGCCTCCAGTTGGTTCTGAAGCTCATGGCCTGCAGCATCATTTTCAGCCTGGACAACAAATGAAGGCAACAAAGATGACAATAAAAAAAGAAATCCCAACATGTAAGTTTATGGGTAAAGTACACCAGAGGTTACTGAGTATATCATTTTGTTCCTTGAACTTTCAGCAATCCTTGTGAGCTGAGCTTATTCCCTCTGTAGGCGGAAGTGCAGCAACCAATGCATCAAACTGGGAAAGAACTACCAACAACAATTAATAACATTGATCCACGAAACTATGATAAATCAAACACGGATTAAGATGGATGTATTTGTAAACATCTGAGACCATGCCTGCAAAATTGCTACTAGTTTCTCAGCTACTTAACACCAAGTCCTGAGTTCTGATCTGAAGCCACATGAATCGGTTCATGATAATGTGAAAAGCCTTGATGTTGATAACAACGGTGCTCCTGAAATTTCCGAATCCGAACCGGAATCCGTGGCTTGTCACATCGCAATCAACATGTTCGACAAACAGGCTTCACCACCAAGCCAAGATATCAATGTTTGCCAAGGTATTCATTTCGAGCTTTCTCAGAAGATTATGGATGAAGCTAGCCCCAATATATTTTAAGAAATAATTATAAAAAAAATTTAATGTAAAAATAATTTTTAAAAATAAAAATAAAACCGAATACACCCATCGTTATTTCATGGGCCAAAACCGGAAAACTTTACGAATACAAATCTGTAGTTGATACTAATACTGATTTAAGTATATAACAAACTATATCAAGCAACCCTCTGAACTATTATCAACATAACACTGCCTATTTGTGCAATAGACAAGTGATCTTCTTGGAGTAGACTTGGTTTCTCATCTAAAAGTTCGATATCGATACTGCCTAGTATGAACACTCTCATCCTTTCATGGACTCCTACTGAATGGAAGAACTATCGATGACGAACTAAGATCAGCATGCCGAAAAGACCGTCTATGGAACGTCTAGATTCAAGCCCGATGGGTGCATTGGAAAGCTCAGAACATGAAGAAAAAAATCATATACACACCTGGTGGGACTCGAACCCACAATCGTCTGATTAGAAGTCAGACGCCTTATCCATTAGGCCACAGGTGCTTCAGTACTTGGTACATTGTATTTGAGTATAAATACAAAGTAGTACATGTATTGGTTCACACATTAGTCGAAGCTTGAGGGATTCTAGGTTAAACAAAAATGAACTTGATCAAGTCATGTTATGTGATAATTTTAAGTTGTTTAATTAACATGTATTTTGTTGTATCAGAGTGGTGATTATATTTAACACGTGTTTTGACATTCGGTAATATTATTTTTGTCTAAAAATCAACAAATAATAATATTTATATATTTTTTCTTGTTATTATATTTTAATTTATAAATCATATATATCAATCATTTATTTTATATGATTTGACTATGGTCAAATTGATAAATTGTGTGCTTGATCAATATCGAATAAAACTAATGAGATTGAGAAAATAATTATTTTAAAACTTCTTAATTTTAAAATTAAACAAATTAAGTGATCACCGAAAAAGAAAATTATTGATTGGGTGATAGTGGTTTGGCCTATGACCATGATCTACCCAACAAGGATAATTAATTAGTATAAATAATACATTATCAGTTTAAGCTCTGAAATAGATCACCGAATTTTATATTTTTATATATGAAATAAACTATCTTAATGGTTAAAGGATGATTATTATTCCTGAAAGTCTTAAACTCGAGAACTAAAGATTATAAAGGTGTTTGAACTTTTATTATCAAATTGTTAAAAATGTTCTAAAGATTTAAAACATGTTATCAATCGAAAATACAAAAAAATATATATTAATTTCAATTTTTCAAAGAGACGACAACCCATACTACCTTCGATCCATTCCTGCTTTTACTCTTTTAGCTTACATCATCTTAAACAAGATTAAAGGAACGATTCAAAATTTAACCACTCTAACTTTAAAGTTGATATTTAAAAAAAATAATTCTAGTTGTATATAGAAAAGTTTATTAAAATTAAGAGCTTCTGTCATATTTATTGGTTTTATCATTTTGAATCTTATCATTTGTTAAAATTTGACAATTTGTTAGACAGAAAAATGAAACCCCATAATTATTTATTTTTTGACTGTGTTTTTTCAAAGAATGCATGGACTAGGACTAGTATATTAAAGGTTTGTAATTTGTATTTCAATGCAATAGCAGGATAGACCCGGTAATGTCCGGTCCAGACACCTCGATTAAATTGAGTCGATAAAATCTATCGAATATCGAACTTCTTATCACTTGATCGAACACCATATTATTTTTGGATATACTTTCTTCAGATCAAAAGGATCACATTAGTATCACTTGTTATTATTGAAAACAACAATACGTGAAAATGAAAGCCATACCTGCAGACAGTGAACTGCACATTCAATATGAAATAGGTGTGAACCATTGATGAATGGCCCAACAACATTTATAAGTCTCTGCAACAGATCCGAGGACACAACCAAAGCAGCCTAGCCTCGGATGCTGTCTGAAAGCAACCCCAGACAGTGATCCTCAAATGACGAATTCTTGTTCCCTTTTCATGCATGCAGTAATTATATACACTATGAGCTCATGCTAACGTCTTATGATTCTAAGCACCAACGATAACTTCAACAAAGCTTGTTGAACTAATCCAACACACAAGCTCTCAAGCAATGGAGTAAAATTCTCATAAAATCTCCAATAAAAATTTATATGGTATAATCCAATACTTGTATAGATACATGTTGCTTTTTACAGAATATTATTACAGACAAAATGCAAGATTCGTCAAGTAATGAGAGTCTGTACCTGGTTAAGCATCGACACTGAGTAAACTTTTCATTAACAGGGGTCTTACTCGTCTCGCTGTAAAACTTGAGAAGATTTCATCCATTTGTCCTTGGTCAAAGAGGTCTGATTTATATCATGCAGTTATGGATAAAGATTGAATCGGCCTTGAAAACTAGAACTGTAAGAGCATCATCATGGTCATCGAAGAAGCGATGAGAAGATAAATTGCAACATTTTCATTGTAAAGACCTGCAAAAGAGTGAGTGTCTACTCAGCGAGAGAAAGGCAACTACCATAATTAAAGTTTGATAAGTTTGAGTTTTAACTTCATTAAAAAATTATTCTGTCAACCCTATGTTCGACCAACAAAGAAGCGATGAGAAGATAAATTGCAACATTTTCATTGTAAAGACCTGCAAAAGAGAGAATGTCTACTCAGCGAGAGAGAGGCAACTACCATAATTAAAGTTTGATAAGTTTGAGTTTTAACTTCATTAAAAAATTATTCTGTCAACCCTATGTTCGACCAACATGACCCGGCAACTAACGATTAGTCTGCAAGTGCATGGAAAGATTAAAATCTACAAATTCTACTCGTCTCAAAGTGATTACAGTTATTTGAGTAAATCAGTCCATTTCTTACCACTTTGTGCATTTGTAGCTGCAGGTAGTGCAGGGATTCTTACAGCTGCATGCAAAAATTTCAGATGAAATAAATAAAAGATGACAAGAGAAGAAGTATCATGATAATATGAAATCAGTTTATAATACGGACTACCATTGAGAATACATACTTTTATTGCATGATGAAGTGGGTAAAAGTGATGGATTTGGCCATGGGGCTGGAATATTATCGTTCAGATCGCAAATGAAACTGATTCCAGAGAACTTGTCAAACGTCGCATCAGAGGGCAAGCTTGGAAGAAGGCATCCAGATGCTAAAAGCAGTTGAAAAAATACATTGTGTTAAATAATCTAGGCCATATGAGCAGTGTTTCAAGCAGAGCCTTCAACAAAAATCAAGAGCCATGATAAAGAGTTATAAATAACCATTAGAAATGAGTGGAGTAAGCATCTTACCCTGACTTCCAACTGTTGCATACAAGTTGTTGGTAATTGGTATCAAAATATATCATGACGACAAAAAAAGAATCAAGTATTAGTACCAGTTCGAAATTGTCACATCAAGATCATTTTGGTTTGCTTGGTACAGGTACAACAAAAAACAAAACCAACCTTGAAGGGAGAAATCCTTTAGGCTTATGTGACAGAGGCTATAAACATCTTTGGTGATATTGTATTTCTGTAGCTTCAAACCTAGAGAGGTAGCACAATCCAATGCTTGTAAGTTGGTGACAAGGGTCTGCTTTTGCAAGTGAGACACATAGTTATCCATAGCATCACAACAAGTTGTCGGGTTACTTATTACATTTCCACAGCTGTTTGCAACATGCTTCATATTGGGGAAAACAAGAGGGCAAACTGAAGCAGAAGACAACATACGAAAATAACTTAAATATGTAGTCAAAGATGTAACAATAACTTCTATGCTGCTCGATATCCAAAGGGATGCTCTTATATGCATCAATCACATGGCAAGAGGTGAATCCTAATCTATGTATATATCACATTTAATAAGGGGAAATTCCAAGCTCACCTTTGTTAACATTGCAATTTGTTAGTCCTCTAAGGACTTCCTTTGCACGATAAGGGTCAAGTTTACTTGCCAACCACCGAAGAACGACAGTTTTACAATCATTTACCCTTGTCGAGTGCTCAGGTAAAATGTGGGACCCATCCATGCTCAAAGGATCAGAAGCTTTCAGTGCAAGTCTTGTTGCAGCATCTGATATGGCACCTTGACAAACTTGGTCACAACATTCTTTCACAGGGTCAATCTTTTCACATGAAGCAAGAAGCTCAGATGAATTCACAGTGTTCTCAAACTCATCAACATCTTTTACCGGGCAAGATGCTTCAGTGAGGTTTGATGGAATAACTGAGCAAACCTGCTTGAGATTTTCATCAGCACCCTGGCCTTCTAAGACTTGCTCAATATCTGAGAGGCAAGGCTTGGCGATGGTTCTGTTTAGGGCAAGCACACCAGTCTCTTTACTTAATTGGCCAACAAGTATCACGAGAGTTGCATGTAGCTGTGGACAACATATTACATTTGCCAACAATGGAGCAAATGCAGCAAAACAATCGGTTGAGGTCATGGTCATCAAGTTCTCAGCAGCAGTGAAATTTAACATACAGTCTCCTATAAAAGGCCAAGTGCAAAATGTAATTAGACACTTAAATCACAACTGTCTTCAGATTCCAATGTGCCCAACTACGTAAAAAAATACCTGATAATTTTGGAACAGTACTATTCGTGAAGGGTGTCAGTGGAGAGGGCGCAAGAAGAGGCAGAAATGGCTGAGGAGATGCACTCGGAGTAATTTCAGGTAAAAAAGCATCTGCTCCCCTATCTGTTAACATATAACTTTTCAGATGATCCGTCGGGGTGGATAAACATTCATGGAAGCCTGCAGTGAGAGCAAGGACAAACACATCATACTCTTTACCAAGATAAATCAACAAATAAAATGTAAAATTTCCGGTTTTTCACTAGTACAGACAATTTTAGCGCATAAGTTCACAAAGGCAAGAGGTGTCTACAACATGCAACCATAAAAGGAAAGAAAAATGATAAAACCCTAAAATTCATAACTTGAGAATTTCTACACTTACATAATTTGCAGACACCTAATGCTTACACCTCAAACTACTGCTTTGCATCGGTCACAATGACAACGTCATTGATAAGACGTGTCTCATGTCTGTTCCTAGCATGTCAATCTATAAAAGTTCCCACTTTTTCCCCACTATCTATTTCTCTCACTCTAACATCAATAAGCGCCATTCACAATTACTCAAGAGATCTCAAACACCTTCATGATGTAATCTGGAGGTATACAAAATCAAGATCATACATTTCTAAGCACTGGTTTTGCTAAACTACCTCAAATAGTTTTCTAAGGTAACTTATATCCTTGTCCAAGAAGCAGTCATTATAGATGCTTAAACAGATATATATATAACCTAAACAACTATAAGAATTATTTGGGAAACAAATACAAGAACTCAAATTGGCAAGTATTCATCACCATAAGGAGGCTAAAAACTACAATAAATCAGTAGCAAACAGTTCAATTAATATAAACTTTTAACCACAACCACACATTCCCATTCCATTTCATTATCTTTTTTAATCATATTAATGGACATAAAATTGGCCTAAACCTAATATCATTATACCACCTTTAACATAAATAACAAAGCATCCAAGCTTTCAAACACTAAAAAGCTTAAGAATAATTTCCCCAGGTTCAAAAAATGCAAAGCAAAACAATGACCCAAGCAGCCAATTTCTTAAAACTAACAGATCAAGTTAAAAAAACAAAACCCATAGAAGGAAAAGAGTCGAAAAAATCACCCACATGCAAGAAACATAAACAGCTCGAGGAGTAACATGCTGGGACTGTGCTTGAGAGACACCCCGGCCCTCATAATCTTTCGTTCACTTAAAAAATAAGGTTGCAAAACAAGAAGAAAAGAGAAAAAATACCCAACTATGGTTAAGAAGCTAGGAAAGTGTGGTAATGCAAAGGAGGACAGGAGGGCAGAGAAGCCATGAATGAGCTTCAAAGAGAAAAATGAATTAAGAAAGAAGAAAGAAGAAAGAAGATAGAGGAAAGCAGTGCGGAAACTGTGGAATAATGAGTAACGAAACTAGCTGTCTTGTTGAGGGAGAGGAGACCCTACAATCAAATTAAATTGAATTTAATACTCGGATATATCAACTCACCCACCAGTCTTTGAGTGCATTAACGCTATCTATTGCCTTTTTTTGCTCATTTTTTCGAACTTTGTTTATTAAGTCATCTCTGACACGTGTGATGATAGTGTTTTTGTGTGAATGTGCAGGTTGTGATCTGGCACGTGTATATGTTTATTGTGAGTTTTTATTTTATTTTATTTTATTTTAAATACTTAAATAGTCCTTTAATCATTTTGAAAATAAAATGATGTTTTAAAAAATCTTAGAATTATATTATGTTTCTTCTTGACTCTAATGCTACATAGTTCCAAGAATTCCACGAAGGATGTAGAAAAATTTATTTTTGTTTTTAAACAAATAAAATTTTGTGTAAAGTTTTTGAAGTTAACATGAGCAAATATTATTTTATTAAACTAAAAGTGATTATAAAGTAATATTTATTTTAAATATTTTTAATTATTTAACAATAAACGTTTAACTATATTTGTAGTTGCGGGTGCTCAAATCTATATTCTCTGAGAATAATAACAATTTTTTTAACCGAAGTAAATCGCAACATAATAAAATATAAAACTTAAAATGAAAGAAATTTATTTCAGAGAAAATTTCTGATTTTAGAATTGAAATAAAAAAAATAAAATCATGCTCTTCGATGTAAAATGTAAGTTTTTTTTATAAAGGGTTCTATCTTTTTTATAACATTTTTTAGTCATTAAAATAATAAATATTAAATAATTTGCAATGATTTAAAATGTTAAAAGATTAAATAACTCGCAACAATTTAAAATTTAGAATGACAAAAAAACTGAATAATAATTTGAAAGTTTTGATGCTTTTTCATCCTTTTATCATTTTAAATTATTGCAAATTATTTAACATTTGTCATTTTAATGAGCTGGAAAATATTGTAAAAAAATAATATAACCCTCTATAAAAAGACTTTTATTTTATGTTAAAAGGTGCGGTCTTATTTTTTTTATTTCAATTCTAGAATAAAAAATTATCCTTGAATTAAATTTCTCTTAAGTCTCATATATTTTTATATTAACTTAAAAAAATTTAAACAAAGTATATGGTTGATGAAGGTCAGCAACAATAATGTTGGACAAATTAACCCGAGTGAATCACATCCCACAAAGCCTTGCTGCCGCCATAGGAGCGGGTGACAAACGGAAACCTCAAAACCGACGACACTTCCTCTACATCCGAGTTCCTCAGCCGCCATTCTTCTAGACAGGCACAGCGCTTAGAAGGTACCTACTAAGCTTAGTTAATCTCTTTCTTCTTCTAATGTTCCATTTTTTGTCTCTTCTGTAAGTTACTTAAGCAGATATTATGTTTATCCTTTGCTATAGTGATTTGGGTTTTTCTCTGTTTTAATATTTTTTTTAAACAGGTGTCATTTTTTTTATGAATTGGGTATCGATATTTCTATGGTTTCGAGCTCTCTTTTGTCCAGAAGAAGTTGTTTTTTCAGCCGAGGTTTGCATGTTGTAGGTAAGCAACTCTCTTGCCCATGTAGTGAAGACATTGTATTCAAAGCAATCTGCGTTAATTTACGACATAGGAGATGGAAATTTTTCGATCATGTGTTCCCAAGTCTCACAGATGCATTAGTGAGTCGTGTTATCGGCGAGTTTCGGAACTCACCTCAGTTAGCCTTGGATTTCTACAATTGGGTTGGGGAGAAAAAAGGGTTCCAACTCTCATTGGCTTCCTGTTGTGCTCTAATTCATGTGATGGTCAGGTCGAGGAGATTTGATGATGCCTTATCTCTAATGGAGAAATTAATCCATGTTAATGGAATGACCCCATTGGAAGTATTGGATGGTTTGTTGGATAGTTATGAATTCCATGATTCATGTCCTGCGGTTTTCGATGCATTGGTAAGAGCTTGCACTCAATCTGGGGCTACGGAAGGGGCTTACTTAGTCATTAAGAAGCTGAGAACGGATGGTCTTCTTGTTACTATTCATGCTTGGAACAATTTTTTGAGTCAACTTTTAAAGTTAAATGAGATTGTTAGGGTTTTGGAACATGTATAAGGAAATGATTTCATATGGGTATATTGAGAATGTTAATACTTTTAACTTGGTTGTTTATGCTCTTTGCAAGGAATGTGAATTACTACAAGCTATTTCGACATTTTATCGGATGTTGAAGAGTGGGATTCGGCCTAATATTGTTACTTTCAACATGATGATAGACGGAGCTTGTAAGATGGGTGACATAGAGCTTGCCTTGAAGCTAGTCGAGAAGATGGGTGTGATGTCCAAGTACTATGTTTCACCCAACACCATAACTTACAATTCCATCATTAATGGATTTTGCAAACTAGGGAAAGTGGCATTTTTGGAAGAAGTCGTTAATGAAATGATTAAGGTAGGTTTCAAGCCTGATGTAAGGTCCTATGCGACAATGATAGATGGTTATGCCCGGAGAGGGTGTTTGGAGGAGGCATTAAGACTGTGTGACGAAATGGTTGAAAGGGGCTTGACTCCTAATACGGTTGTTTATAATTCAGTTCTCCATTGGCTTTACTCGGAAGGTGATATCAGGGGAGCTTCTTTGGTATTATCCGACATGATTGACAAGCATGTATTTCCCGATCAATTTACCTACTCCACAGTCGTACAGGGGCTTTGCAGAAATGGATATATGATGCAAGCTTTTAGATTTCATAGCCAGGTTTTGGAAAAGAATGTCATTGAAGACACGTTTTCGCACAATATTCTCATCAATTACCTTTGTAAAAGCAATGATTTATCAGGAGCCATGCAACTCGTGGGTAGCATGTTTATCCATGGTTTAATTCCCGACTCTGTCACATATGGTGCTTTAATTGATGGGCATTGCAAGGAAGGGAAGCTAGAAAGTGCTGTGCAGGTTTACGAAAAAATGGTGAAGGTGGAAAAAGAACCCAACATAGTGATATATAACTCTATTCTTAATGGATTGTGCAAAGAGATGTCAGTGGATGTTGCAAGACGGATGATAGATTCATTAAAGAGTATGGGTTTATCTGATTCTGTAACATTTAACGCTCTCCTTAACTGTTATTGTGGCCATGGTGATATCGGGGAGGCATTTGCTCTATTCTTGGAGATGACAAAGGTAGGGAGGTTAGTAAACACAGTAACTTACAACACATTGATAAACTTTCTTTGCAAGTGTGGGTGCTTTCAACAAGCAAAAGAACTAATGAAGAGAATGGATCTAGAGGGCCTGACTCCGGATTTTATAACATACACGACACTGATTACGTATTCTGCTAAGAACTGTAGTCCAGATGAAGTTATTGAATTGCATGACTACATGGTGCTTAAAGGAGTGGTTCCTTACATACCGACATACCGGGCTATTGTTAGCCCCCTTCTCAGGGAAGAAAATGAGCAGACAAGAGTTTAGCTTTTATATTTTCTTACTCATGTTAGAACAGTTTTCATTATTTGTATATATATATATATTCATTTTAATACCTCATTGTCATCAGATAATGAAGAACTGAACTTCTTTATGTGAAATATATAGAGGTTTCGGTTTTACACATTGTGTGGATTGGGGCCAATTGTGCATGTTTGTCTTCTTTCTGAAATTGTATAGATAATCAAGCATGGCCTCCTTAGAATTGAGGGGAGGGGCCTTCTTGAATTAGCCTATTGATAGGATCCCCTCTTCGACTTTATGGTTCGAGTCCAGGATTTTGTTTTCTGCCTGTTCTGCCCTTTCTTTTACTAAAAGCTCTAAATCTAATAGGTTCAAAGAAGTAGGCATCGAAAGTTAAAAGCTCTCCAACAATGATATGAGCATTTTCGGTTTCGATGCAGATGTGTCGTCTTGTTAAACTGAAATTGATCTTCTGCACAACTCTGACCAACAATGTATTCCATATTGTGTGGCCTTGAAACTTCCATCATCTTTTATTGTTTCAGGGTATGGTACACCAGAAAAATGCTATCTTTTGATTCTTTTCGATGGAGGCTCAAATTATAAAGCCTTCTTGTTTAAGACACCCGTGTTTGGTAGTCACATGGGTTCCGTCGATATCTAGTCTAGTCGAGTCGAGTTGGACCCCTAAATTAAAGGGGTATTAAGCACCTTACCATTGGACTCCATGGGTGTTGGTAACTGTAAAGCCGAACTCGTTGGTCTCTTCTGCTACTATTTTTAGAGATGAAAAGATATTTTTGCTGCATTGAAGTCTTGACTTTTCTCATCAGATAAATGCTGAGAATGGTTGTTTTTACAGTTTTACTTTGAACCTTTATCACACAAAAATCCTGGAAATTTACCCAGACACGGTAACATCAGGTAAAATATTTGCAGCTATTGTTGGAGTACAGATATCCATGGAGTGGTATATGCCTTTCAGAATAGGGAGCCTATAAAGTTAAAATCCAAAACACAACCACTCAGAGCTTGCCACTTCAACTAGGTCCCATACAAAAAATCAATGAATCAAAATTACTCAAAATCCTCATCACAAAACCTTATCCATTCCCACTGATTCCCTCCACTCATTTCTCAATGATTTCCTCCATACCAGAAGAAAACCACTCTCCAACACACAAAAAAACAATCCCTTGTAGGAAAAAAAAGCTCTCCTCTTGCTCTCTTCTGAACAATTCTCTCGCAATCCTCCATTGTTCCACCATGTCTTGCTCAAATCTGACAATGTGGGTGTCTTCAAAACCTTCTCTTTCCGACACTTCTTTGCTCTCTTTCCGTTCTTTTGTCACCCCTTTTCAGTTCCCATCTCAGAGTCCAACTACCTGTAACCCTTCAAGGTCATCTTCGTCTTCGACCACGGTTCACTGTGGTCTCCGTGAGCTTCGAGACCGTATCGATTCGGTCAAGAACACACAGAAGATCACTGAAGCTATGAAACTCGTGGCTGCTGCTAAAGTCAGGAGAGCACAAGAAGCTGTTGTCAATGGTAGACCTTTCTCTGAATCTCTTGTTGAAGTCCTTTACAACATCAATGAGCAGCTCCAGACCGAAGACATTGATGTTCCTCTTACCAGCATCAGGCCTGTCAAAAAAGTTGCCTTGGTTGTTGTCACCGGTGATCGTGGTCTTTGTGGAGGTTTCAACAATGCTATCCTCAAGAAAGCTGAAGCGAGAATTGCAGAATTGAAGCAGCTTGGACTCGATTATACGATCATCAGTGTGGGGAAAAAGGGTAATACGTATTTCGTCCGCAGGCCTTATATTCCGGTGGATCGTTACCTTGAGGGTAGCTCACTCCCTACAGCCAAAGAAGCTCAGGCGATTGCAGATGATGTGTTTTCGCTCTTCGTTAGTGAAGAAGTCGATAAAGTCGAGCTTCTATACACGAAATTCGTATCGTTGGTTAAGTCTGATCCGGTGATTCATACTTTGCTACCACTGTCACCAAGAGGAGAAATCTGTGATGTGAACGGTGTCTGTGTTGATGCAGCTGAGGACGAGTTCTTCAGATTGACCACCAAGGAAGGGAAACTGACCGTCGAGAGAGATGTTGTGAGGACCGAGACTGCCGATTTCTCTCCGATTTTGCAGTTCGAGCAGGATCCAGTCCAGATTCTCGATGCTTTGTTGCCTCTTTATCTCAACAGCCAGGTATTGAGGGCTTTGCAGGAATCATTAGCTAGTGAGCTTGCAGCTAGGATGAGTGCCATGAGCAATGCTACTGATAACGCCCAGGAACTGAAAAAGACCTTATCTATCGTCTACAACCGTCAGCGTCAAGCGAAGATCACTGGAGAGATATTGGAGATCGTAGCTGGTGCCAATGCTTTGGTCTGATGGACGCGTGCTTGTTCCGCCGTCAATCGCGTTTCATTGTAGGTACTGAGAAGAATCATTAAATTATGAGTATTTCCCTTATTCATTTCTATATACTTGTTCATGAACAATCATGCAGATATGATCCCTTCTTTTTGGCATTGTGATTCTCAAATGCTTATTAAGTCTGCACAATTGAGAGACGCAATGTGTTTTGCAATTGAAAAATAAGAGCGTTTTCCCATCTTTGTATGTCATTTTCCCCTTGCATGTATATAATACTTATCCGGTTTCTGGAGAACGATTTTCGCTTGCTTCAGTTCGCTCTGATGTATTGCCGGCAATAACTATTTTTCCTTACTGAATCAGAATCAAGATGATTTAGGCTTTTCATTCTATAGAACTGCTGAGAGGGGCCTTTTTTTTTCATGTAGATTCATTCTACATATGATGTATCGTATTAGGCTCGAGACTTGGGATTTGACTGCCGAGTACTTTACTCGTGCCGACCACATCTGAAGTTTTCCAGGAATTCGGTGAATCTAAGTCTAGTTTACTAGCAACTTAGCTGCCTAAATTAAAATTCATGGAATATGATCTGCAGTTTATATCAGACATGTTGCTCTTTGGTTTTGGTTCGTTAAGTAGTTTAGACATTGTATAAAAAAAATCATAGAATCCGGTAACATAAAATCATACGCCCGATTAAGTAAAATATGTTGGAAAAACTGATGTTTCAGTTACAACACAAGACTTGTGAATATATGGAACTCAACAGACGGCAGCCATGGATGCCTGCATGCACGCATAGTTTCCATGTAATTGAAAAACTACAAAATTCTTACATCCACGTGGATTTAATACCATAAACTATGTTATTAATGCCATGAAGACAAGACATGAAAAGGTTTATGAAAGTTAATATTTAAAAAATCATATTTAACATTTAGTTTAGATTTCATTTTGATACCGGCCGTTGATGTCTCACCATAAGGTAATGCTACCTCAATATTTAAAAAAATAAGAAAAATATACAACATCAGTAGTTATGTTAATTTTTAACGTGGGATACCAAATTGAAACTTAAACTAAACATTAGATATGGTTTTCAAAACAAAAGAAAATTTGAGTACCAAAACATAACAAAAGCAATAGTTAAAATATCAAATATGTAGTTTACCCAAAAAATAATTGAGAATAAAAAATACTTAAAATACTTTGATACGTGATTAAACGCCTTTCTTAAGGTTTTTATAGTACTCTCCTGACTTATTAAAAAGCATAAACAAATAATTTTGAATCCGATTTTTTTTAATTAAATTAGATCATTAACTAAATTTTTTAATTAAACTCGAGTTTAATCCGATTAGTACACATATAGCATTTTGGCTAACATTATATTTGATTCTAGCTCGAGTTTAATTCAATTAGTGCACATATAACATCCAACAAATCTAAGATTCAAATTTGATGTTTGTTATCTATACGACAAAATCTCTTGTTTACTTATTGAAAGCAAAGGTGCAATAGTTACGCGATATTGGCACGGCTCAATCAGATAACATAACTCTTAAGCTTTTAGAACGATGCTCTCAAATTGAACCACACCAATATCTCGATAACATTCTTCTGTATGCTCTTACTATCTTCCTTCCGGGAACTAATGCTGCATTGTAGAGTTACAAGCACTGAAAGAAATCACACACAAATACATATGAAAGTGTATCCAATCCAATCCTTTGCTAAACTAAAGATGAGCACCAACAACACACATGCATATATATGTATGTATATTTGCCTTCAACTTCCATGGATGACAGAAAATGAAGAACAAAGAAGGAGAAGAAACATTAATGGAGGAGAAGATTAAGGGTTTAGAAAGAAAGAGTTACGCAGGAAATGAAAAGAGAGAGATATAAGGAAAGGAGGAATGGGCAAAAGCAGATGGTAGAGCATTGAATTTGCCACCAACCCAACAACAACAAAGGGGTGAGTGTATTAAATATAAAGCTGTGGATAGACAATATAGGGGGAAAGCTCTTACTTGAAACAAACACTTGAGCTTCCAATTTCTTGCATTTATAAGATGGGAAGGGCCTTGTCTTTGTACCAATACCATTTGAATTTCAAATGAGACTGTAAAAACCCAACGTTTAGCACATGACAAATGATGTTTCAAAGGACATTATTTATATTTTTTGCAATTAATGGGGCAAACAATAAGTACATTGATCCTTGAATGTTGATGTTTCTGTTGAGGTTTGCATTCCATAAATTTAATCATTTTAAATAACCAATCATTTATTATTTATATGAATCTTGATACATTAAAATCACGAGAAATAAGATTATGATATTTGTTGGGTATTGAAATTAGAAAAAAATAATAATGAGCGTTTTCCAAGCCTAATTAGAAGAGAAAAAAAATTAGAAACGGGTTGAGTCGAGTTGGGTTGCCTCTTTCTATACACCCTCCATTAGACTCGACACGAATTAAGAAGTATATTCTTTTTCCTGAATCTGATTCAACTCAATTTTTTTAATAAAAACTCACATATGACCCGACATATAAATAAAGAACTAATTAAAAATTATATAAAGAAGAGGTATTATAACAGTTATCAGTAAATTTATAAAAGAAAATTATAATATTACTCCATGTCTAGTCAGGTCAGAAATTTTTCACACTATATTCGAACTCAACCAACCTCAATTTTTTTTTAAAAGTGATTTTATCAAACCAAATCGTGTTAGAACATGTTAGTTTTGGATTAAATTACCCTCCCAAAACATAACATACATCTACAATATTTTGCCATTATTCTTAGTCTTATTCCGACGGCTTGAATTTGAATTGAAAGTGTTGAGATAAAATTAAAAAGCTAAACTATTAATGTTGTGGTAAAGTGTATTATACTTTTTTTAAAAGAAATAGTTAATTCAAACCTTAAATATGATATTGTTGAGATAAATTATCATAAATCTAGAACCTAACCCTTAAATTTTGCAACGTCAAAGTAAGAAAAAATAAAAACTTTGTGCTCAAATAGCTTAAATAGATTTATTATTTATTTGGAGGGACCAAAAATGTTATTTTTATTTAACTAAATGACTAAAAAGATTATATTAAATATTTAAGAATTGAAAGGGGCTAAACAACAATTGTACCATTTCATCAACAAGCCTTAAATGTCAAAGGACATTTCCCTTTGGTTCTCTCTACAAAACGTCGTCTCTCTCAGGCCCTCATCCTCCATGGTTGAAGTGGCGACCAAAGCAGCATTAAACAAAATAAGTAAAGATTGAACCACGGAAAATAGGGTTGGTGAATTTATAAAATTTTAGGGAACGAATATATATTACTAATTAAAAATACAAAGAAAATATTTAAAATATATACTAATTTAATATTTCTAAAGTGATTGTACTCATATGCCTCTTCCGGGATTGACCCATGGTTATGAGCACTGCTTTCTCTGACACAACCCATGTTCTACAACGGTGAAATATGCTTCAAGCATTGTTATGTTCCCCCTAATGAAAGCACTTCCGATTAAAAAAAGAACAAAGATTCAATACAAAAGTAATTCCACATTAACCCCCAATAGTGATAGAACAATAAAGATAGTTGCTACACTCCCATAATTACATCCCGAGTAGATACCGATGATGTGTCCCTCTCCCCATGTGAATTAATGCATTCATCTGTAACACCCCCCATCATTTACAGCAAAAAAAACAGCGCAATTTTATGACTGTATTCACGTGAAAACCCTGCAATATATATATAAAAGTTATGATCTCTTCCTCCTCAACTAGGAGTATACAAGAACCAATACAGAAGTAGTAGTTAAAATTTTCTGATACTTGAAGACGAGGGCACAAATCTTTGAAGCTAGTTAATGCACAACCGGGGGTAGGCCGATTCTTTTTTCTGCCGACAATAATAACGCTCCTCGGCCATGGTTAAATTAAAAACCATTTTTGCTTTCGAGTTTGATGGTACGTTCTCCTTCCTCACTGGTTCATGGCCTGCTGTTTGATGATGGCAAGTGACCTGCAATTCATGAGCGGAATTAAAGACTTGTTGCACGCGCAAAGATGGTTGGTGTAGCAGTAAGATTACTTGCAGTGAACCCAACAGAAGTTAATTAAATGAACCACGGCATGGCTCTCACTCTACTACCTTCTATCTGTGTTTTCTGCAGCCTGTCGCGTCTCTCTACTTAATGCTCATCTCCAAGTATAGATATGCTAAATAGTGCTAAAACAAAGTCTAACTTTTTAAAGATTGTTCGCTTCCCAAGCAAATAAGAGTTCTAACGTTTTGGTATGTAGTATATTTGAGGGTTATGACTGAAAATCTTTTATAATTTGTTATCTTTTAAAGATAGGTTCCGGTATATAATATCGAACTCTTTTAGTTTTACATAGATTTAGTACAGTTGGTTAAGTGAAAATAAATGTCTAAGATTAACAGTAAAAAATGAGAAGATATTAACTGGAAAAAAAAAACAAGGAATCAATCGAGCTGAATTAAAAATCAGAGATTTTTTTGACCTAAAATGAAATTGAATGCCAAAATGGTTCCAGAAAAAGAATAAAGACCCAAATTAAAATAATTGACAATGTTAACTATAATCCTTTTCTTTTATTGTTAGACTTCAATTTAAAAGCAACATTAAGTCGGATCTGTTGAGAGCGGAAGATTAACTCACGGGCCAACACCCATATATTTAACTTCAAAGTCAAAAAAAATTATTATACTTGTTGAGAATGGGATTTAAACCTACATGAGAAGGACTAAATTAAATTGAATTTCACTTTTTAAATTAAAAAATTACTAAATTTTAAATGTTTGAAGAGACAAGGACTAAAAGATGAATTAGACAGCATTTAGAAAATGTTAATACTGTGTTGAGAGTGGGATTTGAACCCACGCCCTTTCGGACCAGAACCTTAATCTGGCGCCTTAGACCAACTCGGCCATCTCAACTCAGTTATTGAAAATTGATTTTTTTCTGATGGTATATCTTGCTGATTGGACTTTAGTGAGCACCAAAGAAATGGGGAAATAAGTTTCTTACCCAATTAGTATTGATATGCGGTCGAGACAATGGTGTAAATGAAACGAGTCAAATTGCGAGTTATTCGGGATTGAGATATGATAAAATCTTATCTCATAATCGTTTGATTTGTATAGTTTTTTTGAGATTTTGGGATATGATTTTATCATATCATAGT